AACTTAATGATTCCAGTCAACTTAATACATTATTAAATCAAAAGTTCAACCAAAAAAATTCATGGAATTTAGTAACTAAAAGTTTTAATCACTTAAAACAATTAAAGATTGAATCTTTAGTACTTAGAAGTCTCAAAGATCAAATTTTTCACACTAAATGCAATGGATTTGCAATTATGTGAAAATATGAACCAATTTTTCAAGCACCAATTACTACCAAATAATCGTGCTTAAAGAGGTTTAAAATTTCATAAAAATAAAGGAATGAACAAAATACATAACCACCATAAATATTCCATTAAGATTCAAGGTTAGAAAGACTTAAAATTTTTGTCAAAACAAAAATCCCTCAAATAAGACATTCAAGAACATCATTTAATTTCCACCCAAAATTAACTACTTTTTGGAAAAAATTTGGGTTATGGGCTGAAGACAACTCTAATACGGGCTTAAAAATGATAAAAATGAGCTACTTATCTAATTACCAATATAAAACCAGAAAAATTAAGCCATTAAAACACCTTGAAAAAATATGATTATGAAAATAAATAAGCAAGGCTTCGATACCGCTGTTGGGTTTCGATGAGTCCAACTCACCGCGGAAGAAAACCCGAGCCAAGACCACACTCACAATTAATATAATCACAAACCATAATTAACTTAAACAATAAGAATTCAGAAAAGTTAATACCTTTGACGCGTGCTTTGCTCACTACAAGAGCTCTTTCTTTGAAAGCTCTAAGTCTCGCTCACACGAAGACCTCGACAATGGTCCAATGCTTAGAGGTTAGCTAAGCCCAAGCTAAACCCAAGTAATTATATGTAAATAAAAGTTTTCTTAATAGAGATGCCTTTTTTAAAACCTTAATGATGAGTGTCATTTATGGCACTCATTTACATTCTTTTAGGATGATTTTACATGATTTTTGTATCTCTTTTACTTTTCTCTAGTTTTACTTATATTTTCTCTACTTAACATTTTCCTCAGATGTTTTCTTATTTTCTTGCTTTTCTAGTGTATAGTATTATGCATTTTTTCCTTACTTGTTTGATTTTCTTTAATTATAGGAAGTTCGCGATGTTCGAGAGCCTCAAGTGTATCCTTCTCGGAGTTTTCAAGCCAAAAAGATGTCCCGTTTCTATATTTGAAGCCCAAGAGCAAAGGAATTAAAGGTTGCGCCCTCATACTGTGTGGGCATGAAAGAGTGGTGTCGAACCCACCAAAAGTACTCTAACTTACTGCGTATAGCATCATGGCTCATCCAGAGCTCACGAGGACAAGCTCGGCTACACTAGGAGAGCTCCCCTGCTCCCATGGAGTGGGGGCGCGCGAGAGAGGAGCGACCGCGCCACAAAGCTACGCAGTTGCGCGCGTCCCTAGAGCTGCCACGCCACTCTCTTCTTCTTGTTTCGTACCCTATTTGTAGCGGCCGCGCACATGAGTGAGGGATTGCGCTCTTTGAGGTCCTTTTTGGACGTCTAACTAACTTTGCTTTAGTTAGTTTTACTATATATAGTTTTCCTTCATTTTTAGAAAGACAAAATTAATCCTTGTATTAGATTTAGTTATGATTTTTAGAGAGAGAAACTTTTAATTTTGTGATATTGTTCCTAGATTTTAGAGAGAGAAACTTGGTGTTTGATGATTGCGATATTGAGATCTCCATTCCTCTTTAAAATTGATTAAGGTTTTATAAGAATCCTTTAATTTTCAATAAAATTTGATGTTTGATTTTTATTTTGTTCAACTTTAATTTGATTGTTGAAGTTTAAATTACAATGTTGATGATGAGATTTATGAGTTCTTTTGTTATGTATTTCAATGTCACCATGATTAGTGAGTAGTTGATTTGCTAGGTAATGTGGTGAAGCATGTGTTGCTGATAATGTAATGCTAATTTGGGGCTTTTGATTGAATTGTTGATGTGATAAAATTGGTTAATTAAATTTGTGCATGTTCTTAGTTTGAAAAGGAGTAGCTAACCTTTATGATCATGCTAGATTGTATAATAGCCTTCAATGTCACGAACAATTGATTTGGATGCTATTATTATTGTTTGATCTCGATTTGTGAATTTCCTTTGAAGTCATTTGTAGAGAAATCTAGCTTGACCCTAAGAAATAGCCTGTTGAGTGATCTTGATTGCTTGTTCTATTTTCCTCGCATCGCTTTGTTGATTGAATTCTTTCAAATTAGCAAGATTGTTGTCAATACATGTGGAACCTAAGTTCCATAGTGCTCTGATATTGATTTTTATTTGATTTTGTTTTATTGACTCGATTCCATTAGTGTAGACCAACCCACTACCTTAGTATTCGGAATAGCTTAGTATCAACTTTAGTACTCCCAACTTCCCTTGGGATTTGACCTAGACGTACCCTATACCATGTGTTGGTTTAGCTTTATAAATATTGTTTTGGCCGGGAAATCTAGCTTCAAACGACCTAGGTTTTACCGGTAGTCAAAAATGGCGCCGTTGCAAGGGAAGGCATGGTAATTGCTATTGTTGTTTGAGTCTATTCTAATCAATTGAAAATACAGAAAGATTTTCTTCTTTTTGGATACATTTGTGGCCGTGCTAATGATATTTTCTTTGAGTTTTTGTATGCATAGGGCACAAGATCGAATTTTAGTGCCATTTGATCCGAAAATTGAGAGAACCATAAAAAATTTAAGGGTTGCTAATCGATCTTCAAATCCAAGTTCCCTAAGAGAGGAAATCCATCAAGAAAGAGAAGAATAGTAAGAACAAGGAAGCATGGGAACTAATCCAAGGGTAGCTTTGAAGGAGTTGGGAACTCCCGGAGCTTATAGATTTAAAAGTGGGATTGTTCCACCAACGACATCGCTAAATGACTTCGAGATAAGTCCGACAATGATCACTTTGATGGAGAGGCATCAATATAAGGATGCAAAGCATGAGATCCCTCTCAATCACCTCAAGGAATTTGAGAAATATTGCAACACACTCAGGGTGAACGGGGTTTCTCAAGAATTCATTTGTATTAAGCTTTCCCTTTCTCTCTTATTGGGCGTGATTTACAGTGGTTAGACAAGGAGGTGAAGCCTAATTCTTTGAGAACGTTGGATGAGGTTACAAAGGAATTCCTATCCTGTTTTTATCCAGAAAAGAAGACGACCTAAGCAAGAGCCCTCATTCAAAGTTTGAAGAAAAAGCCGAGTGAAAGTCTCTATGAAGCATGGGAAAGGTACAAGGAGTATCAAAGAGAGTGCTCACATCATGGGATTCCTACCTATCAAATCATTCAAATTTTCGATGGAGGTTTGAGTCCTCAAGGCAAGTCTTTCTTGGATGCCGGTGCCGGAGGCCCTATCATGAATAAAATGGAAGATGAAGTGGTGGATCTAATTGAAGATGTGGCGAGATACCATATGGATTAGCAAGAAGGTGAGAGAGAATCCATTAGCAAGAGTGGTTTAACGGTTTATTCAATCAACCATAATAATGACATTAACAATTTGTCCTCACAAAGCTCAAACTTAGGAAAGGATAGGACCTCAATTAAGGCAAAGTTTGAGAGTGCTTCTTCACAAGCACCTATTCTTCCCTCCCGCAATAAGGGGAGAGGTACATCTTCAAACTCTACTCCTCTTTCAACTTCAAATAATATGTAAAATGGATGTGTGTTTTGTGATGTTTGTGGGTCATATGACCGTGATTCTTCTAGTTGTCCACATGCTTTGAGAATTGTGATGATGGTGAGAATAATAAGTGTGAGCAAGTGAATTTTGTTTCTAATAACAACAATGGATAAAGATTTGATAGTCCAAGGAACTTTGGGAATAGGTATTCTCACCAAGAAGGGAATTTTGACAACTATAATAATGGTGGTTATAGAAACCAAGGAAACCAAAATTTCTAGGGTAACTATAATAATCAAGGTTATAATAATCAAAATCATGGCCAATACAAAAACCGGGGTAATTAGAGTAACCAAAACCGGGGGAATTTTCATAATAACAACCAAAGGGGACCTCCAACTGTATGTACTCCAAACACCTAAGGAAATGGTGATAATTTCTATACTCAACCTTCAAATTCTAAGTCTATCTAGAAGAGATCGTTGAGAACTAAACTAAAATTTTGAATACTTACATGACGGTAAGTGATAAGAAGTTTTATAAGATGATGACACAAAATAAAATGCTTGAAACTCAAATTGCTTAATTAGCTTACACCTTGAATGAGAGTGTGAATGCTATCCCTTCTTCTTTACCCTCACAAAGAGTTGAACCTAAGAAACCTGTGTATTCCATCACCACAAGGAGAGGGAAAGTGCTTGAAGAGAGAGTTTCTAGAGAGTGTGAGAAAGATGAGAAGATGAGTGATTCAAGCGAAGAAATAGAAAGTAATGTGTCAAACAAGGTGAGTAAGAAAGCCTAAGAGGAAAAGAAGAGTGATGAAAAAGTACAAGAGGAGGTGATCAAGCCCAAACTTCCGTACCCCCAAAAGTTTTTGAGAAACAAAATTGATGAACAATTTGGGAGATTTCTTGATATGCTTAAGGTATTTCATCTTTCAATCCCTCAGCTCTTACCAATTCCATGACCCAAATGCCTAGATATTCTAAGTTCCTTAAGGAAATTATGAATGGAAAGAGTGAGTGTAATGAGATAGATTCGGTAAATCTTGGGGAATGTTATGGTGCTTTGATTCATAATGACTTACCCAAGAAAATGAAAGATCCGTGTAATTTCTCCGTCCAAAATGCTCTTTGTGATCTTGGTTCGAGTGTGATTATCATGCCTTATTATTCATTTAGGAAACTTAAGCTAGGTGAGCTTCATCTAACTAATATGACTTTGCAATTGGGCGATCGATATATTAAGTTTCCAAAGGGAAGAGTTTAGGATGTTCTTCTCAAGATACACTAGGTGAAAAAAGAAGATTGGCACTGCCCTAAGGCCACTGGTTTTTAAAAACCAGTGGGGAAAAAAGGGGATAAATGGGGGGATTTTAATGGAAGAGTATTGCCATCGATTCAAAACAAACTAGTAGGAAAAATAATAACCATACCGGTTTGAACCGGTGCCAATAATTTTTTTTTAAAAAAACCCTTTTATAAACCGTACCCCTTATTCCTTTCACCTTAAAACTGATCTCCTCTCTCCTCTACCCCTTCTCTGTTCTCTTCCCTCTCCGCCTCTCATCCTTCTCTCTCCTCCTCCTCTCCTCCTTCATTCTCTTTGATCTCCTTCTCCATCCTTCATTCTTTTCGATCTCCTTCTCTATCCTTCATTTTCGTCGTTGTCGCCTTCATTCTCATCACCTACTCTCTCTCTATATCCGTCATCTCCTTCATTCTCATCGCCATTATTCATCCTTCATCTCCTTCAATCTAGTCGCAACAAAACCACCACTAAGACCACCGCCGCCGCCACCACCACCACTAACCACTACCGCAACAACACCACCAACACCAATAGTACGATGACATCACCGACAATAATTGGTTTTCTGGGTTTTATTATTCGAGGTTAGGGTTTTTGGGCTTAATTAATTTTGTAATTTCTGTGTTTAATTGATTTCCTAGGTTGAATTCGAAACATGCCTTGATTTTAAAATTTTCTGGGTTTTTGGGTTTAATTGATTTGTAATTGCTGGTTGTAATCGATTTTGGAATTGTCTAGGTTTAATTGTATTTTGAAATTGTTGTGTTTAATTGATTTTAATCGATTTTCTTGGGTTTTTAGGTGATTTATGGGTTTGTTTTTTAAAATTATTTTGAGTTAATGTATTTTCCGAGTTCTTGAAATTTCTGGGTACATGCATGAGTGTTCTTCGTTTTATTTTTCGCAGCATATAATGTGATTTTTATGAATTTTAATTTTGTGTTTTAATCAATGCAGGTATTGTTTATGAATCCATATAGAAGAATCAAGATGTTCATTTTGGAAAATTGATTTATATGTTGTAATTTTTTTTTATGTTGTAATTTTTTGGGGTATTGTACAATTGTAGTTTAATGATAATTATAAATCTGATTAAATTTCGGTTGATTATGACAGTGATGTTGCATTGAAATAAATTGTTAGATTATATTTCTACTTCTAGTGAAAAATTGCAACAAAAATAATAATTTTTTTTTAAAAAAAAGTAACATGAAATGGCACTGGTTAACCGGTGCCAATTTGCTGTAATTTCAAAAAAAAATAAAAAAAGTCGGGGAATATTATTACCACCTGTTAACCGATAGCAATGTAATTTATTCCCACCGGTTAATCGATGGCAATACTTGTTTTCCCCAACGGTTTTGAAATAGTGGCTTTTAAAGGGAGGATTACCACCCCCCAAATTCCCAACGGTTCAACACCGGTGGCAAAGGGGGGTTTTCAACTGGTGGAAAATTGCCTTTTTCTACTAGTGATAAGAAGTTTACCATTTCGGTTGAATTTATTGTGCTGGAAATAGCGGAAGATGATAACATACCTATAATTCTAGGGAGCCCTTTCTTAGCTAATTTGGGAGCTTTGATAGTTGTGAAAGGAGGTCTAATTATTTGGAGAGTTGGTAGCAATATGACTAGTTTTGCCCTTATGCCGATGCATGAGTCGTTATCTCTAGTGAATGGAATTATGTGTGTCAATTCCCCTTAATATAATGATGATATTTGCATAGATGTTTCTTCTACTAACAATGTTCTTGAGGTTTTTGATGATGTGTCTTTAAGTGTTGAATGCAAGAAAGTTAGTGAAGAAAACAAGGAGCCTTTGAAGCTTGAAGATGAGGAGGTAATTGATATTCCTCCATGGTTTTAGCTCTACCCTCAAGAAGACGAGGTTGATTCCAAGTGTGTTGATGGTGAGAAGTCATCCACTAAAAGGAATAAGAAAGAAAAGAAGAAAAAGAGAGCTTTTATAAAAAAGAAAATGAAGTTGAAGCAAAACGTGCTTGTTCCGGAAATTTATTAAGTGAGAATTCATCAAGCAACGATGTGAAGTTGTTAAGAATTGAGGAAGAGTTTGTTCCCTCTACCACTTTGAATAAGGTGGTGTTCTTTGACCCTCCATGATTTGGAGGAAGGGTCAAGCTAAGGAGCTTAAGCAAGCTCTTCCCGATAGGCAACCCTGTTTTCTAAATTTTTCTTTTGATTCTATTTTTCTTATGTTTCTTTTTAATTGTTTTTATTTCTTTCACTTGTTTGTATTAGGATTAATAAGTTGAATTCATCAGAATTGGACTACTCGAGCGTGCATGAGCACAATGGGAATATGTTTCGTGGTGTTTATTGAGAATATGCTCGATACTATTGAATTTTGAGATGAATGGGTAAGGTAATTTAGGAGGTAAGTTAGGAAAAGTTGTGGTTACATTTGAAGCAAGTATAAGCTTAGTAGGTTCATTATGGTGCTCTCATTAATTTGGAATGTTGAACCCACTAGAAATGAAATTAGATACTGGTCGTTTTAGTGGGTTCAATAATCCTGGAATGATAACTATCGTTGAGCCCATGTATGAACGCACCAAGAGAAGCAATTAAGCTAGGAACAAGAAGCAGCTAGCGCTGGCACACAGCTATGCGGTGCGGGCGCGCGAGCTGCAGGCGCAGCCGCGCATATGGGTTGCCAAGGATACTTCTTTCCTTTCTTCTTTCATTTCCTCATTTCCTTTCATCCTCGCCCTAGAACTCACCTCCTTCCCACTCCATAATACAAACCCACGAAACCCTTACCCTCATAATCAACAAAAACCCATCTTAAATCATCAAAACAATCAACAAAAACAACAATTTTCTTCTCTAAATTCATCTTCTATATCAAAATCATACTACTTTCCTCTATTTCTCAATCTCCAATCTCTCTTCTCCATTGAAGACCAAATTGGGGATTTTTGAATTGGTTGACATTGGTGGCTTTTTCATTATCAATCTTGATTCAAGTGTGGTATAATCATCTTCTTTGACTCTATTTCACATAATTATATTATATTGTTGCAAGATTTTGATTGTTTATGATTGTGAATAGCAGTAGTATGAATTTTGATGAATTTGGTGATTGTATGTGAAATTGGGTTGATTATTTGTATTGATGTTGATTAAATTTGTCTCACATTGTGTTGTTGATTGTTTGTGTAGCCCAATTGTGCAAAATTGTTGTGAACTTTAGAGGGTGATATTAGGGTGTAGTGGTTGTGATTGGAATTGGTTGGTTGAGTCAAGTGGTGATTGAATTGTGTTGGTGGTTTTAAGTGTTTTGTGAAGTTAAATTTGTGATCTTGGTTGTGATAATTTGGTGAAAAAATTATGTCTAGAATTGTGGAAGCTCTCACCTCCAAAACCAAAAAGAGAAAAACCAACATCACCATTGATGAACCATTACCTTAAAAAACTTCCTCCCCTCAAACACAAAACCTAGAGCCCCTTCCTCATCCTAAACTCCATTCTGTCAATCAAGAAAACAAACCTAATTAGAAAAATTTCCATAAGAGAACCTATAAGCCCTCACGGCACTATCACCAATATAGCATGATCAAATTAGGAATTGATGAGGACTTATGGACTACCATTGAAAATCTTGGTTTAGGTACTTTTATCGCTAGGAGTTACCGGACTTACCTCGAGCCTACTTAGGAGTTCCTGGCTTCCTTGGGTACTACTCCGGTTGGTGACAAAGACTATAAGGTCACTTTCCAGCTCTTTAATAAGGTAAATGTCATGTTGTTGGCCGAGTTCAATGTGGCCTTAGATTTCAACCCAAATGTGGATAGATTCTATTCCGACCGCGAGCATGAGTATTTAGAGTGCTTCTCCCAAAATGCCTTTTGGCAAGCCATCTCGGGGTTGGATAAGTTCGACGCTCGATTTTCTCTTGCAAGAGAAATATTTCACTTTTGTTTAAGAGTGCTCCATAGACTATTGGGGTACTTGGTGTTCCAAAAGAAAGACTTAGGAAAGGTGTTGCTCCCTAAGTTGCGGACTTTTTTGATGGCAACTAGGGAAGAGTATCGAGTTAGGTTGAACTTTGGGCGGATATTTTTGAAAAGTTGTATGGATATGGGGGTAACTAGTCGGGTGATATACCTTGCGGTAGTATGATCCCAAGGTTAGCTACAAAGCTTGGGTGTAAGAGGTATCTTCTTTCTTGCACACTGGTAGGGGATCTTGACACCATCTATCTCGATACGAAAAACTAAAGCAAGTACAATTCCTGGCTAGACATGATGCCGATGAGGTGTTCGATTGGCTTTGTAGGGGATCTCATTGGTGTTATCTTTCGATCCCCTCTCTTACCTCTCTTCACCAACTAGCCCCTAATGTCTGGTTTGTGCCCTTGAGTAGCCGCATTCCCGGGGAGGATGAAGACATGGAAAATGTTCTTAATGAAGAGCGACAAATCCAACAAAGTCAACAATAACAACAACAATATGGTGCACAAGGAGCACCTCAACAACAACCTCGACAACATCAATATGCCAACCCCAACATGGAGGCGGTGAGTGCCCAATTGGCGGGCATGCAAGTCTGCATGGTCAGGATGTGTGACCAAGACTTCGAGACAATCTACTCCCTTATGAGAGGTATATTCAAGATGCAACAAGGTATGTTTCTCTAACAACAACAACTTTATGATGCGAGCGTTAACCGGGGAGAGATCACTCCCCTGGTTAACTACCCGTATTTCCCTCCTAAACACGGTCCTGTACCGTCTAGAGGAAGTGATGGGAAGCCTACTTACCCGCATTGTCCGAGACCCCAAGGATTCAATACCGAGACTAGAACATTCTCGCATGAGCACAACAACTATGATTACCGTGTGTTCAGTGGGAGTGACTATAGGGGTGGTCTTAACTACCCTTATGTCAATCCCACCCATCGTCTATCTCTAGAATTGCTCAAGCAATTTACTCCCTTGGCCCCTTGGCAACAAGATAACTTTCGGGTCCACTAAGGATGGCCACCCGACTACACCGAGGGATGGGATCCTTATGGTCCCCCATCTGGCTTTTCATATGATAGGGATGATGGCAATGATGATGCCAAGCCTAGTGGTAGCTAGTTCCCCTTTCTATGTGCTTTTATCTCCATTCCTTTATCTTGTATTCTTTGGTTTATATTGATAGGATGTTGAGATGTATTTTTGTGTAGCTTTGGGGGACACTAGTCTATTGGATAGTCTCAGTTGCCATTTCTCTTTTTTGTTGTTTTATTTACTTGATTTTTATTCCTTGATGGTTTTTATTGTTTTCCTTGGTCATATATGATGATGTTGAGAGTTGTCGTTGTTTCCATGATGATAACATGTTATTCTTGTTGGATATCTTTTGTTGTTTGATTTTGACGATGATAATATTTCCATGTTGAGATGGTGATTTTTGCTCCCGTTTATCCAAATCCCAAAAATCCAAAACCCTTGAATCCAAATCCCTCTAATCCAAATGATTTTGTTTTCTTGCATAGATGTTTTTTCTTATTTCTAGGAAGCGTAGTTCATTTCTTTAGATTGATTTCATTCTTTAGTTATATTTTGTTTCTTTGATTTTCCCTTTTGATTTTGTTTTCTTTTTCTTTTGATTTGAAGTTACTAACAGTTTTCTTTGTATATAGTTCATTTTCTCTTTTATTTTCTTATCCGATTTTGCAAATTCATGCTATGCTAGTGGAGTTTCATCGAGTTGGTATCTTCTTTACCACGCTTTCCTTTACTTAGCTTGATTTCCTGGTGAGATCTTTCATATTTCACTCTTTGCTTTATTTTATTTAATTTGTTGCAATAGAATATGATTAGTTTAGGAAGAGTTGAATGGTTCGAGGATGTTTGCTTTGTAACACCAAGGGTGCTTGAGGTCATTGGCGATATTGTCAAATGACCACTTGTTTGTCTATTGGGATTTATATGATATGCATGCATGCATCTTTGCACTTTTGTTTCTCTTTTCCTTTCTTTTCCTTTTCTACATTTCATTCTCATTTCTTTTCATTAAAAAAAATCCAAAAATATGATTTAGAGGCTTTTTTTTTGTTTTCTTTTCATGGTATGCTTTTGTTATGGACATAATATCATCCGAACTTTTGCTTTTCAATGGATGGTTTCCTATGTGGTGTCGGTGTGCACGGTTTGAGAGTATCTTTGGTTGATTATAGGATATAGTATTGTAAGGTAGAGTGTTTAGAAATTTTGGGATCTTGAAGTCGGATTCTATTTGTTTTTGAAAATTTGCAATTGCTCCCTTTTGGTGAATTTAAAACTAATAGTGAGCATTTGCTACAACCATGTGAGGTATAAATTATTTTCAAGCCTTAAGTATTTCTTGATTTAGCGGCACATGGATCCTTGAATATTGTATGCTTTTATCTAGATGTTTACTTTCATCTCCCAAGATTGCGATCGAGCCATTTAGGAAGGACAAAGACATCTTTTCGGGGTGGTAATTTTTCCTTTTCTACGATAGTTTTCTATTTCATTATTATGGATTTTCATTTGCGTACTTGCTAACCATTTGAGCCATAAACCTTATTTTCAAGCCATATCTTTAGATTTTGAGCCTTTTGTTTCATTCTTGTTTCCATTATTGGTTTTTGTGAAGCAATTGATCATTTTGTTGGAGTATCACTACCACAAAATAGGGATATAAGTAACAAATAATACACAACGGTCAAGTTGCATAGGCGATCTCTAGAATTATACAGATCGCCTATGTAAGATAGGCGCTTTGTATGTTAAAACCTATAGAGCGCCTATCTAACTTAACTGTTCTATATGATAAATTCAAATTTACACTAACAAATATAGAGCGCCTCCTTTGATTAACCGTTCTATCAGTATATTAATTTTTACAAAAAATTAATTGGAAGTATCATGTATGACAACCACGACCCACCTAACCCTAAACTACTTCGTTTCAAATTGTAGCCGCCTCCTTGTATCT